GTTATTTTGGTTTCTTTTATTGTTTTTTTTTTAATTATTATATATCTTATTTTATGATTTAGTTTAAGGTACCGAATCATGGGCCAATATCTGTGAGCCTAGGGACAGAATGATTAAGTCAAATTAAGCTGATGGGATGTTGGTGGTAGGGAAACCCAGACAGAATACAGAATGGCCATTCACGAGTCAATGAATAGTAAATCCTCTAAATGCTGAAAAGGTAGAGTCAAGGCCGTCGTTCATAATTGGAAACATTTTTTTTTTCTTTGCGACGATAGATACTTCAGGCACAAAGATGCATGCGTGATACGAGCACTAGAGTTTGGACCAAAATTTGAGAGAACATACCTGCTTATTGCGAGCCATCTCCTCTTCATGGAAAGCCAGCTCCTAACAAAGATAAGTAGCATGGTTCATAATGAAGATTAAAATGAATAGACCTCATATTGACTGAAAGAATAGGTATATTAGCTCTCAGTTGCTACCTCCTCCTCATATTTATCAATATCGGGAAACAGAGCAGCAATGAGAGCGTCAAAGTTGGGATCATCCCTTAAAGAACGGCGGCTGGCACAATGGGTGCGGCATGCTGGACATTCTTTGTTCCTGCATTCAAAGTCAATAGAACAATCAGATGGCAACAAATCTTTCTGCGGTAGATTATATCCAATGACCGGGAAAAAAAACATAAACAAACACAAAAACAAAAAGAAATAAAAAGAAAAAGGAAAGAAGAACAAAAGTACCCTAGGCGCATGGATTTGTCAATGCACTCTCTGCAGAAACGGTGTAAACACTCCATGACAGTCCTTGTCTTCCTAATGATACCTATACATGGTATATAATAAAGAGGAATTCATCAGAAAGGCTCANAAGAAGAAGCAAAGGCAAGTTCCGACAAATAGTAATTCAATTTGTTTGTTACCAGCCAAAATATGGACGGCAAAGTATTGTAGCTAATAAAGAGAAGAAATGTGATTTACGTGTCATATCCAGCTGCATGGCTTGTTCCTTAAATTGTTATAAATGTGGATCTGGACACACTAAAAATTTGAGAAACATACCTAAACATATGGGGCATTGGACATCCTTCCGTATTTCAGCCAAATTCACAGTAATATCTCCTCTGGAATCCACAGGAAAATCTCTTAAGAGTAATCCATCAAACGTCAAACACAAATAAATCCAACATGTGAATAAAGAGGAAATTGCTTGCTTTTTGCAATTTCTGGTATTTAGCTATCAATTTCTATAGGAAAAAGGAAAAGAAAAAACCTAAAAGAATCAATTGTTGACAATTGTGAACATAAGAACATTTTAGGAAGAAAATGAATTAGAGTGGCATTCAATGGAAGCACATTGATTAGTACAACTATTCAAAAAATTTAAATATCTAGCGGGATCAACTTTTTTCGTTTTCTGCCACATTTTTCCATAGGCTTTGGTTCAAGATGACGGTATCTCCGTCCCAACTCAACAGATTTTTTTCTAGATTGTAATTGCTAATTGTGCTCTCAATAAATATAAATTTGACACGTGTTTACTGTTAAAAGAAAACAGTATGTGACACCTCCTACATAGCTAACAACTCTTCTCAGCCCAAACTACCCAAATTATGCTCATAATCATCAATGAAATTTTTTATGTTTACAGTTTGTTCATAATAAATTAGATATCACGTACATAGAACCTGTCGAGAATTTAAAATGTACATCATTAAATCATATGCACCCAAAGGGACCCACAATGCAGTATGCTGACTATACCACTCAACTATATGCATGGCAACTCCAAAGTGCCGTTCCAGAAGAAAACGGATGAAATTTAAACTGCATTCGCTAAACCTTGAAAATAGAAGCGCCGAAAGACTTCAGGTTTCTCATTAAATAAACAAAACGAAAATTCTTTTCCATTCTAAGATGTTCCACAAGAGTACCTTCCAGTGAAGATCCTTCTCGACTAGCCCATACGGAGTGAAAATATTCAACTTTTTTCAATATGCTCAATCAACATACAGGGCTTACCAAAAATGGTCATATAAAAGATAAAGCCATGTTATAGAAATCAAAGCTATGTGTAGAATGCAAAAGTACCATAGCTACATGAAAAGCGACTATCTTC